GATGTTGCTGTAGTCGAACGGTGAGACGGACGTGTAGTTCAGTTTTGGGCACGCGTACGGTGCTGCAGGGATTATATATAGGTGTAGTAGTACCTCTTCGGGCTCTTGTACACCTTTTTCTTGCTACGTGTGCGTGTTCTTTAGATCCTCAGATGGCTCTAGCACTTTCGTGACCACGGGCCGAGAGTCTTTGCTAGATTTTGGCATTTAGCAACTGGCATACGGTTTAATGTGAAGTCAACAACAACAACATTCTCAAGTAAAGAGTAGAATACGACCTTCCCGAGATGAACATTTGAAGACCTCTACAGGGTCTTACACGAATCTCGCCTAAGTCAATTTGAAACGGGAGGGAGTTTCCCAACATGCCCCAAGCAACTCCTCTGTGGAGAGCGGCTCTGGAGTTCGTGAGAATAAACTTTCGAAAAGGGGTCGACGAATCGATTGATGAGTTGAGCCTATGCTTCTGCCTGCAGATGCCGGTAACCAGCGTCGGCACACCAGAAGAAAAGCGGCAATTTTTGGTGTTGGCCTTCCTTGGGTACGCTGGCACTTTGCAATCAGTATCAACCTCCAGATGAGGAGACTGCAAGCACATACACCGGGATAGACAGCAGTATTGCACGCTCTTCTTTGCGACTACTGCAAATAATCTTTCAGCTGAAGGAATGCTCTAGATTCGGCCGTTGTTGGGACCTGAATAGATTTGCATTACTTTTTATCCTGGTGCCTCTCTCCTATTGCACACTTTGCTGTTCTTGTTTTACGGCCTCAGGAGCAGAAATAGTACTTCTCACGAGGCGGACGTGAGCCCACATAAAAGCATAATTGCTCATGCTTTCCACTCCTTGGGCTAGACATTTGTTTAAGATTCTTTCCTGCTTGCATGCTTGTTTCATTCGGCTGATCGTACTGTAGCAGGGGTCTGCTGGTGAGAAGTAACTGTCAAACCTGAAATGCACACGGCACACATACCCCGAAATCCAACCCATGCCCTAAAGCTAGGCCTTCGGGCTTGCAATGCAGAACCTTGGGTTTCCAATGCCCGATGCAATCGTCCGTAACAGTTTGAAGCCCACACTACGCCATTGGTCGATTTGATCTTTTTGCAGATGTACATGCCGCTTGCCCTAGGAGGGTTGATAGTCCTGGTCGTGATCTGCTTCTGCTGTTATAAGCTTTGCGCAGCGCGCTCCAGGGTCCACGGGGAGGAGGCAAACATCGATGACGTCGAGGTGAGCACGGCAGCGTTAACTTGTGTATGGTGTCGGTGGAGCTCTTCATTAGCAGAGGTACGGACGTTTAATGAGCAGGAACTACACGAACCGACAGGTGAAGAAGGGATGACAAAAATATATGCAGACCCAACAATGGCGCACAAAAACCTTTTTCTCTGACACCCAACCGACAAAACTTTTTTCCAGACCTCTCCGGGCGGGGGGGTTGCGAAGGCCCATCCCTCCCCCCCCCCGACGCCATACAAAAAATTGTAAACACGCACATACTAAATCCTATGTATAAAGGGGGCACATTTCATGCACGAGGAACAACCCATGTTGCCCCTGGGCGAGCCTGAGCTTGCGCGTATTTCGTCCGCACAGCAGAGGAGAGAGAGAGAGAGAGAGAGAGAGAGAGAGAGAGAGAGAGAGAAACAGAGAAACAGAGAGCTTGAAGAGGGGAGGGGGGAGGAGGAGGAGAAAGGGGAGGGTGCGGTGTGGGGGTTAGGGGGGACGACGAGGGAGGGCGAAGGTGCTCAGGGCGAACAAGCGCTCGAAGAAACGGTGGTTTAGCCTTGTTGAGGGAGGTGATGGAGGGGCCTGGGGGATCCGGGAGTGAATAATTAGTCCTTGAACGCACGGCAATTACAATTAATTGTGGCGTTGCACGTGGTGAATGAAGGTGATGCTACTCATTGGCTCATCTACAGCTCCTCTTCGGCATGTTGCCGGGTTGAGTGTGCTAGGATTGAAGACGTTTTGACGCATGGTATTTATGCGTCATTTGGTTCTGGTGTGTCGTGTGTGTGTTGTCGCCAAACACATTCGCCTAAGGTCAAATGTCGCGGACTTGTCGCAAAACCATTGAGAGGTTCTAAGATACTTCTCGCTTGGGAGGGAGGGGTGTCCCCAAGCACTGTATGTAACAATTAGTACTCTCAAGCGCTCGAAGAAATAGCTAAGGTTTAGCTAGAGGTTAGTAGCCCCTAACAGCTAGTCTATTTCTTTACGAAGTAACAATGCTCCGGTGCCGAATGTCTACGCCATGAACTATCTCAAACCCATCAAACAACTACCAAGTAACAAGGTCCTTGTGCACTTCTGCGTGCCGTAGACACCAGCACGCGCAAGCACACGAAAAATGGAGACGGAGAAACCCAACAATGCCTCCACAAAAATGTACCACGAGAAAAATAAAGCTTTTTCGTCCCCGTCCCGCGGGGGGGGGGGGATCTCGGGTAGGTGTCAGGGAACACTTTTTTTGTGCGCCCTTGGACCCAAGCAAGGCAGAATCATAGGTTTTTGTTTTCTTCCCAGGTTCGTGTGTTACCACATCCTTTGCGTAGTGTTCTTTGATGTCTCGGCTGAGGCGAGTGCATGGTTGATCCCCGCTCATTGGACTGTGGGCCTGCGTGACTGGGGAACTTGGAAGATTTTTTCACACGTCATACCCGAATCGACATTATTCACCCCTCGTAAACAAGAAGAAAGGAGGCCAACATCTTCACACACAATATCGGAATAGAGGTGTCCAGGCGTTGAGTCTATGTATTTCACAATGTACTGTAGTTTACCCCCCCATCCATGTGTTCCTCTTCCGGGCTGGCATTGATGGGGATAACAACTACTGCTGTAGAGCCTTCGCGACGAGAGTCCAGCATGACAAATCGTTTCGCTGATAATACCGAAATCCCCTTTTCTCCAGACAATTGGAGCGACGGAAAATCAAAATGGTATAAGAAGCATTCCACAATGATTTGATTCGATCGGGAAGGTTTAACACAGGAATAGTCGGTGGAGGAGGAAACCGTCAACGATTAGACCGTGCAGCAGTTCAGCAAGGTAATCGTAGCCTGTGCTTGTCCCGACAGGTCCGTTTTCACTCACTCCACGTGTTGTTGCAGTCTCGCACCCACCCCCTCCCCTCGTGGTGAGTCGAGAAAGGGTCGCGTGATATTGCGGGCAGGAGATGACACCCCTTCTCCCGTGCGTTACACGTATGAATAGACGACTCCCTTTTCTGTTACAACTCTGGGTCTCGTTTTTCCATACCTAGGCCGTGCCCTTGGCCTTGAAGACTGCGCACCGCCGGCAAGCACTGGCTGATGGGCCCACGGTGAGCGGGCTCAACATAACGTGAAAATCGGTGTGTCCTATTTTTCTTTCCGCCAATAATTGTCGTTACGTTGATACGGTTTCTCCGACGGCGTCGAACCAGGCACGATTCCAGGCGGCCGAGGACGAGAAGAGGGCAGCCATCGCGGGAGGGGGCGGGCAGCGAGGAAACGATTCACGAAAGCTTCGGTCACACGGCAGGGACGCAACGCCTTCCGCAGGCGGCCGGGAAGACGGCTCACATCCGGCAAGGGGGCAGGCGGCGGCAATCGCCTGGGAAAAAACGCCGTCCGACTGGACTGTGGCAACTAGCATGGGCTCCTCCTCCCGTGACGACCTCTCCAGTAGCCAGGGTGGCCAGGTGCAGCGCCGAGAGCCAGATCAATACGTCCATATGTTGCGGAAGCCAGCTCCGCTGGTTGTTGTTCCGCTATGATGTTTTCGTTCAACAAGCCGAAATGATGTGACACGATTCTGGACATACATTTCACCTAATTTGTTATGCGACAGGTTTCGTTATCCTATCCACCGTCGACCTTCTGGATTCTGCGCATGTTTCCCGCACTTCTCGAATAGTGTCTCCCAAAACAGAGTTGCTTGCGCACGAATGTTTTGGCATGCGATGCGAAAACATGAGCGAACAAGGTTGGGGCTATCTGCACCGTGAAAATGGTGTTGTCGGTTCACGATGATCATCGTTTGGCATACCGTCGTGAGTGGGCAAAAGGTCTTGCCCGTCACACCTCTCCCAGAATACGCCAAACATCATGATTGCAACCCTGTTTGTCGAGAGAGTCGTACAACGGACCGTGGAACCCCGGCTTTCGCCGTGACGCACCGGTCAAAGGTGCAACTAGCCCCACCGAAGTATCCACTGGGCCCCATTTCTCTCCCGCGATGTTTCTGAAACTCCCCCCCACCCGACAGTCCCTTCTTCGGCTTAACACATGTATGGCCCCTGTGTTCCACGGATTGCTCATCGCTTTCCCCTCTTCGACGACGACCGATGTCAGGTACCCAGCGTCGCCAGTGCCGGCTCAAGTATTGCAGGAGGCAGTCACCGGACTGCCAAGAAACAGCAGCGACGGCCTTCCTCCAAGTCGCCGAGAACCAGCACCAAGCCTTCTTCAGATGGAGGCACCACCTCTGCTTCTCCCAGGAGGGTTGAAAGGGTGGTGGAAGGGGTAACGCATGTGGCCGGCACAAAGAGAGAAGTGGGCAGCCGCGAGGTGCTGGGGAAGGGTCGGAGCAGCGAAGCTAGTCGCATTGGTGAGTGATCATGCTGGGGGTGGTACTGAAAGATTTCTTCAACCTTTCACGAGTAGCGTTGAAACGATGTTTCACGCTGCTGCTGTGCGTGCGTGCGTAAGACCACGTCCTTGATGGCAGATGCACATCCTGCTTGAAGGCACCGAATGGGACTACTTGCATGTCGTCACGTGTGTGGTTATACCGAGAACACACGGGAAATACGTGTCGTTCACGATACACTTACCTCGGGAATCTCAACCTTGACACACGGTCTCCCTTCGTTTGATTCGCTCTTCAACTAGCGAGGCGGAGGGACTTTCAGGAGGAAGGCCCTGAAGAACACTTAAGTAGGACCTGCACCAACAGCAACAGAGGAGGTAATGGCAGCACCAACAGCAAGCCATAGGCGGGGAGGTAGCAGCGAAGGATCAGGGTTCAAGGGAACAAATGTTTGTGCGAGTGGGAGGAAATCATGGGAGGAAAGCACGTTGGCTGAAGCAGCTCACTGCGGGAGAGTGCTCCACCTTTGTCAAAGCCCTTACGACTGCCAGGGAACCGCGCCGCTCTAAGTACAGGGCAGGCGCAGATACGTAAAGTGCAAGGAGAGCAGAATATCGAGCGCATCGGTTTAGCGACTAGTGCCCAATCTTCGAGAAATTGTGTGTGGAGTAGCCGGCCCTGGTCACCTGTAGACTTTACATGCCTTGACCATCGTTTTCAGAGCGGTTCTAGAGGGCCTGCACGTTGTGACGACTCCTTAAGTTGAGCGTCTGCATTTTTCCAGGGTCACTTGGCGGTGAAGCCAGCCCAGTTTATTTACCCGTAGACTTTAGCCCTTGCCCATCGTTTCCAGAGGCGGTTTTCTGTTCCGCAGGCCTTCCATTTTGTGATAGCTTCCATTGTCGAGCGTCTAAATTTGCGCAGGGCCAGAGTCCACCCGTGGTGACCCCTCGCACTGCTGTACTCTTATGCTGTACTTTGCGCGCATTTCGTGACATACGGACATGCTGGCGGGAAATGTAGACTACGTGTTTGCTTTTCTTGTTTGTATTTCTTTCGGTTTGGGGAATAGTTGTACGAGCCCCGAGCTCCTTTGTCAGTGTTGTCTGCAACGGCAAGCGAATCCCACGTAGACTCTAGCGCTTTGGCGTGTTGCTGGACGTCCGTTATATGCTGTTCTCGTGTGATACAATCGCGTGGGTTTTCTCGTGAACTCAGGTGCAAACTAGTCTAGCCCCGGAGGATTTTTGCCGTATCCCTTTGTATCGTGCATTTCTATCTTTTATGCACCCGTGTTTTATAGCTCAGCTGAGTGTGATGTCACTCGGCGTTCTTGAAGTGCTGAGTCTGGACAATTGATGGGTACTCCTTTCGCCTGATTGAGAAGATGAAAAACAAACCCTGACGTACATGTCCTCTCGGTGAGCCTCAGCAGGATTTTTTACTTACGGGAAGGGTGTGTCTTGAGCCTTGGGATAACTCTGTAGTTCTATTCGTAAGTTTCGTTGTCATTTGTTCTCAGTGTTGCTTGCGAACCCGCGTGTTGTTGTGGGTTGGTCCATTTCCCGTTCGTGGGTCGCAATGTGTTCCCCCGCAAGTCGTACAATTGTGTCTGGTGAACCTCCGCATGTAGTCCCTTCGTCTCTTCATTTCATATCTTTATCTTCCTCCTGCTGTTGCCTTTGTTGGATGTTGTTCCGCCTATTGACGAATGTGGTGTGCGACCCCTGCCAGTCTGGCTGATGCCCTTTCCGTATGAAGTCCCGAGCGGACAAGAACGCCTAAATATTCTTGCTACTTGTGTTTGACCGCGGCTTGGAGTTCCTAGCTGGCCAGTGTGCTTCGAGCGCTGATTATATGTAATGAAAATGAAGAAAAAACTGCTGTACTTGGATGAGCACGGTGTTCAACTACTGTAGCGATTGCAAGGGTCTTCAGAGTGAGCAAAGCGGAGGGTGCGCTTGTCTGGACATGACCGACATGAGGTTGAACCGAGACGTCGCGCAGAGCTTCGCGACGACACATGCGCGCAGCAGATCCAACCCTGGCGTTTCGATGGAAAGCGGTGTGGTCGTCGGGAGTCCCGAGGGAGGAGGGACATAGTATTGTCTTGATTTTGCGTGTCATGTCTGACCCATGAACTCAAGGCTATCCTCCCTCACGTACGAACACTGAAAGGCTTGTACCTTTGTGCTGGGATAGGTCTGGCGATGAGGCATGCACACAAACGTCCCTCTCGCCTGATCCATTTCCATTGTGTGCTACCCTAGATGGGTAATTTCGAAGCTGGGCAACGCTCTTGCAGAATTTGTTGGCGCACTGTGGTCGTGATTGCGACGATCGGTGCTAATGTCTGTCTGAGCCAAACTTCATCTACGTAGTTAGTTGGATGAAGAGCGGAACATAGCGTATTGTGGCTAACGGGGTTGTACCAGTATCGATTGCTTTTTATGCATGTCGGGGTCGATCTTCATTTGTCCGATGGCAAGAGACACTGCAACAATTATAATAAGAGTCTACCCATATTAAATTATTGAACTGACGCCACGCATTAGATTGGTGCACATAAGATTTCCAAAAACAAAATCGAAATCGAATCGATTTTCGATTTCGGGTTGACTCTACTCGTATACCCAGATGGGTGACGCATCGAAATCGAAAGTGGAAAACATGGGTGACATGAAAAAGGCCTGAAAGTGTCCGTTGAATGATTCACACGATGACCATGAGAGCCACAGGGCACCCCACACATCGAGCGATAGTGTCGGAGGTCGGCCATGATCAGGCGGGTCGGAACATCTTGGTTTCGCACCGATACGCTACGAGTTCAGCGAGCTATGTGCGATTGAATACTCCGATCTGACACAGGAAAGCCGAAGACGATGCCGTTGTAAAGCGATATTTTCACGGCGATAAGGCTGCCTCTCCCGTTTTAAAGTAGATTTGGCTCAATCTTATGCCGTGCTCCGCTGAATGCGAGTTTTTTGCCGAGGTATCGCTTACATCGCCAAGCAGTCCGTTGGTGCCTAGATGAGTAGCGAAACGAAAACATTTTCCGACTTTCAAGGAATCTCGCAAGCAGCTGGCAAGCAGCTTGATGCTCCCGTTCACGCTTTCGACTTTTGATTCCACGTCGCTTAGCTTTCAATCCTCCACATCGAAAACCCGGCTGCGGAACAAGTGTCCTCTGTCCAGTCAGTGAAATTTTGGATTTTCGATTTTCGATTTTCGATTTTCGATTGGACACTGCGGTGACAAAACCCGCCCTGACTGCATGCAGTCCCACACAGAGAACCACATGAACAAACAAAAAAACAAGTTTATATACGTTCAAGCGCATCATCGTTCTGAAACTGGATGTACGGAAAAATTCAACATCAGATACAGGACGGGCCCTCAATTAAAAATTAAGAAATAGCGCTAAATGTTTACGAAAGATATGAAAAAACGACTAAGAAGCACAGCTTAATCTCGGCCACAACACAAGGAAGGAACGTCCCGACAAGCAACGTGAACGTGCGATACCCCCTATACATAAGAAACCATGGTTCTGGGGGAGCGTGGATGAAGCCGCGGTCGTTGGGGCGTGTGTGCTGCTAGAGGTGGAACAGGAGGAGGGATTCAGGAAGTGCTGGAGGGCGACACACTCCAATGTTCGCCACACCGAGCTTTCTGGTTAATGCTGCATGAATGTTTATGATGTGTTGTTGAATTCTGAGCCAGACAAAAGAAAACAACAAATAAATGAATCAGGAGGATGCGACGGGTTTAAAGGAATAAGAAATGCCTTTTAAGCAGATGGACGCCTTCGTCTGGTCCTTCAACCAAAACATGGTATTGTGGCTCGATCCCATTTTGGCGTGTCATATCTCCGGGCCCGTACTGTAGAGGTCTCAGAACCGTCTTTTCTCCGATCGATCGACAACGCGTGTCAAACATAGACTACCGTCTTTTCTCCGATCGATCGACAACGCGTGTCAAACATAGACTACTTTGAACCGGTTTCGGGACATTGGAGGTTAAGCAAAATGTCTACAGTTGGGAGGGATCATGCCACGCAACCGGAGTTCACCCTCTCGCGATCACTGCACACGCCCCTGCTCCCCGCCGACATAAGCAGGACAATCTCGTCAACAACCCAGCGGATCCCAGTAGTCGTGATCTGGTCGCGCCGAATAAAGCGCCACCGTACGGCGAGGGAACGCCGGATAGGGCAGGGGAATGGAAGCGCGTTAGCGAAGAGAAAAAGCTGCACGAGAGGGAGAGATGGAGTGACAAGTGCAAGTCGCGGCTACAACACGAACGACCTATGCTAAAACAGATGTAAAGACGCTCGTTCTTCGCTCACGTATGTAGTTGAGTACAGTTCGTGCGCGTGGACCGCATCCTCAGCGCTGGGTGTCAGCGCGCAATCATACCTTCATCTGCTCCTCAATCCGGGCAAGTTCCTTCTCTTCCTGTCCGGTGATTGACAAGTCGTGTTACAGCTTGCTGGAGACCCACAGGTCGACGTACATAGCCAAATTCCTCTTCCAGAGAAGCGACTGACACAAGAACGGCGTGGAAGGGTTCTCGTAGAACAGTCACAGACGAGACATGTTGTAAACAGAGGAACGAGTGATTATGTTAACTTTTAACGGGCATCATCTTTTTCCACATGGGGGGTGTTAAGTAAACACCGGGTTGTTGACAACGTTCTTGAAAACGGTCCATGAAGGGACATGTTGAGGTTGTCCCTTCTTCGTAGATGCGGCACGACCGCTGCCTCTTCGAAACCCCTAGAGGGCAAGCAGGGAAGTATCCGACACTTCTTCATCCCTGTTATGGCCCCCATACCCCTAGCGCCGCGACCATACGAACATTATTTTCGTACGGTCAGCCACGGCCCATCGAAAAGTTTTGTGCAGATTCCGTCCGACGCCGCCGTAACACCTGTGCGTGCGGTCTTAAGAGATACTGTACGGCGATGCAGTATCCATCATGTTTTTTCGATGCCAGCACTACTCACACAAACGCAAACCACCACACAAAAGAATCGACAAAAAGGTGTGAATCGAACAATAAAGAATCCACCTTGCTTGGTACTGGGGACTACGATGTCCACAGTTCGAACAAACTGCGTCTTCGAGAGTGCTTGTGACACACTTACACCCAGTTTTTCACGCGCACCCGCGAAGCATGAAGCAGGCGGTCACCGTCAAGAAACGGCTTCCATACGGCTACCTCTTCCATGTGATTGCGTGTGTAGTCTAGCCCACCTACCAATCACACTAGAACTAGGGCAGGTCGTTTGGCGAGGCTGCAATGGGCGTGCCGGTTTTCCATGGCGTGCCTAGTAGTTGCCCGACAAGCCTGTTCTTCCTGAAGCTGCGGGACGAGACCAAAGGCGTAACGGCGGCACGATACAGTCAAACGCGTTGCCCGGCCGCGCACCAGTCTTTGGTACCACAGTGTTGGGGTTGACACCCCCGCCATCATCTCTCTCGGCTTGAACGAAGCTGTGACGTGCACACCACTAGCACGAGGATTGACACTTCCTCAGGCTCAGCATTCTCGAACCTGATACGAACACGAGAATGGATGAAAGAGGAGTAGACTACATATCTTGATGGGTGGGGGTGGACGTTGTACTGAACCGTTAAACCACTTCTTGTTTCGCTTCATCCCAGGAGGGTATAATAGCAGGCTTAAAGATCGGTCTGTTCCAATACGATGCACGGGGCAAACTTGAGTTCCGAGGGCCCTAAATATCCCCCTTTTCAACGTTAATCAGACCTATGGAGGAGCGATTGACGATCTGTTGGCTTCTGAGGAGGAGAACAAATAGGGGACTCCTGGTCACAATGGTTTGGTCGTGCTCCGACGACAGACGGCCTTTCTGCACAGAGATTTGTGGAAAAAATCGTGGGAGATACTTCAAGGTGTCGCAAGCAGTTGTCGAGGTTGAGTTAAAAGGGGGAACACAGCGCAAAGGTCTCACGCACGCGGTTCAATCCAGGTGAAAGAAAGGAAAACGCCACACACACCGCTGGGACGTATGTTTTTCCCTCACAGGTCCGAGGCCAGCTTTCAAGACCAGCTGGAGCCGAGGCCATACGACTCGCGCGCCATGGATATAGCCATGCGCCATGTGTAACCTAGCGCGGGGTTATGTGTTGTTGCGTGGGTCCAACCAACACACACATCAAAAAAAATATTAAAACAGACAGACGCACACCTTGACGAGCCCTCACGGCGTTGATAACGGATCGAGAGGAACCTTAGGCGGCGTGAGCGTCCACTGCAATTCGTTTTCAGGGGTTTTGCCTGGGGTGGGTTCGTCAGGTGGCTTACGTCGTGCTACCTGTCACTCCACAGGAAATTCGGCAGGATTGCGACTACTGAGTGTGGAAAGTTAGTGGGGAGCCTACCTCATCTATGTCACGATATCACGATGTCATGTCTGACAGACTCGGATGCTTGCTGGAGGAAACAATGCTCGACATCAGCAAGCACGGACAACATCCCACCACTTTCCCTGCGCACATCACGCTGTAGTTCCAAACCACAACTTTCTTTAATAGAGGCGAACTAATGGATGCCAGGGCGCAACAGGACGACGTTGGGTGAGCAGCGCGTCCAAACTCATGCCGATTTCGGCGGGGAGGGGAGTCCGCACGACCAGCACTACCGTTACACCCGATCGTCAGTACCGCACAAGCCAGCTCTAATAGCATCACCAAGGCCGGTGTTTGCAAAATCTGCAGTATAGCACGCAAGCACACGTGAATGACGGGGCCTCGATGACCTCAACCCTAAACTTTCCACCGCAAAGCCTACATGGAGAGCTGCGTTTTTCCAAGAACCAGAAACTATGAAACGATGTGCACGTTGACAGCAGTCTGGCACACAGCTTGTCCATAACGTAGATGCAACGAAGACACACTCGTCAAGTTCAATCGAGGTTTCGGCCAGGTACCGCAGGGGCGCACTGAGCGTGGTGGGTGTACGGCTATCCGACTCGCCCGCAGCAACTCCTGTAGTCTGGTCGCATTAGTCGCTTCCACGAGAGATTACTTTCTTGTATTCGTGACCTGTTGTTGATCCCTTGGTGTCAGTATTGGATTAGATGAGGCCTCCTCCACCTGAGGCAGAGAAGGTCGTCGCCCTTTTTCGTTTTCCTGTCCTTCACTATTTTTAGCGAGATTTTGGTTGTGCGAAGAGACAAGTGCCATCGAGCGTGTCGATTTCAAGTAAGTCGGGGGGCGCTGTTCGTATGTGTCCTTTGCTTGGAAGGGGAAGACGTTTCATCTCTTGTATTAGACACGCAAGGGGAGTAGGGAGAAGTGAAGCCCTCTTTGGAGTTCGAGGGGTCCCCGCACATGCAACCATTCCAAGGTGTACATATGCCCCATCTGCGTGCCCTCTGTTGTTGCCGGTAGATCTAACCAGTCCGTATCCAAACACACGAACACCCTCCCCGGTTTGCACGCGTGTGGCAAACCTAACGTGGGGCATGGATACCCCTGAACTACCAAAGGGACTCAAAACAACAACAGGCTCGAGGGAAAACCCGGCCAACCGGATAAAAAAACCCTCGCCCAACACCCTAAATATAGAAAACCGTCGCTATCACGGAGGATTCCAACGGCTCCACTTCCAAGACAAGACCAAGGCAGGACAGATTGAACCGGTCACGCTGATTACACACCCGAAGCAACGCTCTTGGCGTTTCTAGGCTCGAGCCGCGGGTGACGCGCCGGCACAACGCTTCCTGCGTGATGTACCATGGTCATATATGCCAAGTGCTAAAACCACCACATAAACCAAACAGAACAAGAGAATACTACATCGGTAGGTTCATCAGAGCCTTCTGGTGGTACTCTAACTTTTCTCTGCNCAGGACAGATTGAACCGGTCACGCTGATTACACACCCGAAGCAACGCTCTTGGCGTTTCTAGGCTCGAGCCGCGGGTGACGCGCCGGCACAACGCTTCCTGCGTGATGTACCATGGTCATATATGCCAAGTGCTAAAACCACCACATAAACCAAACAGAACAAGAGAATACTACATCGGTAGGTTCATCAGAGCCTTCTGGTGGTACTCTAACTTTTCTCTGCCAAGGACCTTGGTCAGCATTTCGGCGTGCTGCTCTCCAGTCGGAACATACTCTGCAGTGATCTGGCCCGACTTGAATAGCTCGCGAACGAAATGGAACCGCACGTAGATGTGCTTGCTCCTCGCTGAGCTGAACGGGTTCTCGACTAAGGCGAGAGCCCCCTTGTTGTCCTCAAGGACCTTGATCTTCGCCCCACTCGTCTCGGGCGCTATGAACGACAGACCGCCACGCGCAGACAACGCCTCCTTCACGCCCTCCCCGGCTGCCATATACTCTGCTTCCGAGGTCGACTGAGCCGTCACTGGCTGCGTCTTGGCAGATGCACACACTACGGTACCACCTACGGTCACAGCTAGCCCGGTCATAGAACGCCTGTCTACTTCGTTGTCAGCGTAGCTAGCATCGACAAACACGCTTAGGTCTAGTCCTGACCCCCGTGCGTAGGTCATGCCGAAGTCCTTCGTAAAGATCAGGGAGGACATGATCCGCACAAGCGCGTTCCATATCCTCCCGGTGGGTGCGTGGGCGATCTTCTGGAGCTTGTTCAGAGGCAGGGCGATGTCTAGCCTCGTCAGCTTCGTCCACATCAGACATCCGATCGCCTCCCTCACAGGCTTATCCACCGCGAGCTCGTCATCTCGCTTCGGCCTTAGCTGTGGGTCTGGGAGTGGTTGCGAAGACCCGCTGNCTTCGTGAAGTTCAGGTAGGACATGATCCGCACAAGCGCGTTCCATATCCTCCTGGTGGATGAGTGGGCGATCTTCTGGAGCTTGTTCCGAGGCACTGCGATGTCTGGCCTCGTCAGCTTCGTCCACATCAGACATCCGATCGCCTCCCTCACAGGCTTATCCACCGCGAGCTCGTCATCTCGCTTCGGCCTTAGCTGTGGGTCTGGGAGTGGTTGCGAAGACCCGCTGGCGTCGACCTCGGCCCCGAACGCCTGCTGTTCCGGGCCCAACACCTCCTGTATCTCGCGCCTGTACATCTCCTCCATACGGCGTGTCTGCTCCTCGTCCCACTTCTCCTTCACAAACGAGTTGCAGATGTAGTCCTCAAGAATCCCCGTCCCGCCAGTTTCCAGGATGGTCGCCAGCAATACCTCTTCCGGGTCCGGTGTTTCTCCGGGCCCGGCATCTCCCCGGCACCTTGCATCTCCCGGGTCTGCTTCCGCGTGCGGCCACTCTCAAGCCCGTGGCGCAGCGGGCCAGCGTTCGAGGCGCCCCAGAGGAATTTCTTCCCTTCTAGCCCGCGGAGGTAGCGGTCGTCGGCTGGATCATACTTCAACTCCTCGAGGTCCTCGGAGTCGCCGGGATCACCATCGCTACCGCCGTCCCCACCTGGGTCGCCTGATTTTCGCCGCCCGGGCCGCCGGCACCGCCGGCGTCACTGCTGCTGCTGCTCGGGCTGCTGCTCGGGCTGCTGCTCGGGCTGCTGCTGCTGCTGTCGGTGGGGCTGTCACTGCCTCCGCCGGAGTCGCCCCTTCCCGAAGGGGGCAACGGGGGAACGCTGCCTCCGCCCCCCGGAATCCCGTTGCCGGGTGCCGTCGGCGCCTCCTTACGCACAAACGGCGTCGCTTGCCCTGGCCCACGAGCCTCCATCACGTTGAGGTCGGACTCACTCTCTGAGTCTCTCTCTCCCCCGCAACCGTGGCGTGATGCATCCGCTCTGCTCTCGCCCTTCCCGCCCTCGTCGTCATCTGCGAGAGGTAGCAGTGCGCGTGTGCTCGTGCTCTTCTGGACGGGTTTCACCTGCCCCTTGGACATCGAACAGCCAACACAGGGTAGCAGCGGTCCATCCGTCAGCTGCACTCCCTGCTGCCCCGCCGTGCTCCTGAGCAATGTCTCGTGGGCATGGCCGTGCGCGAGGTGGTAGTCGTTGAGGTCAGTGGGGTTGGCTGCTTTCGCATCGCCAGGAACAATGAGTGCGGCACAGGCGATGTGTAGCGTTGGCTTTATTTGATAGCCTCGTTGGGTCAGCNGAGTGCGGCACAGGCGGTGTGTAGCGTTGGCTTTATTTGATAGCCTCGTTGGGTCAGCAGCTTTCCAGTCCGGGGGAACCACACCTCCCCCCCGGCCTTCGTGGTCAGTGTGAGGCCCCCCTTCATCCCCGAATGCGTGTGGCCCTCCTCCGCCAACTAAGACAGCGAGAGGAGGTTGTAGGGGGCCTCTAGTACATGGGCAGCATTCAGTACTGGTACGGGTACTCCACCATCTTCCGTCTGTAGGACTAAGGTCACATCTCCGTATCCTAGAAGCGGAACGGAGGCCTTGTCGCCTCCGATCCCCTTCTCCCAACCGCTACGCTCACGGTAGTTCACGAAGTTGTCTGCACATCGGAACATGGAGCACGTGGCCGCTGTGTCGGCCACGTACACCGCCTGGCCTTGTTCCACAACCCCCATTAGACCTACTTCACCAGCGGTACCACACTCGCCTGGGGGGACTGCCACGGCACAAAACGCCTGGTCTTCCACGGAGTCCACGTCGCTCTCATGCTCCACCACTTGCGCTAGGACGGCCTCCTCCGTCGCGCACTTTTCTTTGGTGTGGCCCCACCCCTCGCAGCGCGCACACCACGGCACGAAGTCCTTCTCGTTGGTAGTGCAGCCGATCGCTTGATGTCCACGATGTCCACACCTAAAGCACCGGCCCGGGAACTTATAGTCCTCGCCACCGCCGCCATCGGCGCCTCCACTGCTGCTTCCCTTGCTCTCCTCGACTCCTCCGGATCCGCCTGAGCGGCCGCCGCGACCGCCGCCGCCGCGGCCACGACTGCTGCTGCGGCCACGGCCGCCGCCACGACCACGACCTTGCCCCTGACTCCTACTTGAGTACCGCTCCCTGCGGCCCTCACCGTCGGCGACGTACGCTTGCTCTGCGCCCTTCGCCCCTTTTCCTTTCCCCTGCTCCAGCTTGTCCTTGATCGCCTTGTATTCGATCATTACTTCCTTTAGCACACCGGTCCGCGCCTACTCCTTCTCGTGTCGCAGGTTGTGCTTTGTCATGGCATACTCGTCCGAA